TTCCTTCCTTCCTTCCTTCCTTCCTTCCTTCCTTCCTTCCTTCCTTCCTTCCTTCCTGTCTTTTGTTTGTTTGTTTTTCGCAACAGGCTTTCTCTGTGCGATAGCCCTGTCTGTCCTGGAACTCGCGTGGTAGATCAGACTAGACTTGAACTCACAGAGATCCGCCTGCCTCTGCCTCCAAGTGTTGGGATTAAAGATGTGTGCCACCACCGCCTGGCTCACATTTTCTTTATAACCATGAAAGATTTCATCTTGAGGATGTGCACTGTGCACTTGTGTAACCTGCAGTTGTCTCACCAGTTATTATCAATATGAAATATCCTGTACCAAATGAGGAAACATCGATTTGCCTCTTGATATGGGAACTGCAGCACACGTCCAGGCGCTGCCAAGCCACCTCAGAGTCACCAGAGAAGTCTTCCACAGCTTTTCCCCAGAGGCCCAAAGGGCCCAAAGGGCAAGCGTTGGCTTCTCCTTGTGGTGCTTTTTGGCTTTAAGCCACTGAGTTTAAGATGTTTAACTGCCTACAGCCATAGATTTCACGGGGCAAGATGGGCCTCCGTTAAAAGAGCAGATGATGACACCATGGTTCACGTGCTTCTCCCTGTCATACTTAGTGTTTCCCCTGAGCATGTGCCAGTTTGTCTGGGTCTCTCTAAAGCACAGGTGCTGAGACTAAGCAGAGCGCTGTAGTTACATCTGATCAGAGTGGGGCATCCCTTTGTTCCGTCAACTCCGCTTTTATCTCTGCAGCTGGAATTAGACCAAGCACTTATGCCGACCACATCACACCACTGACTCAGTGAGTCTGTGGTCAGGGAGCCACTAATGATGACTTTCCTCAGGTGCCTCTGGTAGGGCAGCAGCTTTCCCACCTCGGAGTGATATTTGGCTCTGTGAGCTGTGATGTGGAGACTTAGGCTAATTATGAGCAACTCAATACATGTGACTTAACTAAAATACTAATTATAAAAATGTTAGTGTAGTTACTAAATTTGGGCATAGGTATTTTGTTTTTAATTTTATCTAAAGCAAATTCTACCCTCAGATGGTCTGATTCATAAGGTCTTGGGTCATGTGGGGAATGGCTGTGGTAGTCAGGCACAGGTGGCCTTACCTGTAAAATGTCTGCTATAGAGGTCTTGTGTTTATAGTTCAAGGGCCATCCTGGGGCATGGCAGTAGCTAGAGAGGCCTGGAGGGAGGAACTGTCTGCTAAGCATGAGGGCTGAACCAGCCTTGAAGGGTGAGAGATGGAGGGGAGGGGGGCAGAAGGCTGGGGCTGGTGGCCAGAGGGGGATCATACATCGCTTGATAGCAGCAATGACTATTGTGCCTTTGATGCTCAACTTTCTGCTTCTCTCTACCTGATGAGGTAAGACAACAGTAAAATACAGTGGCTCTGACAGAGCACCAGACTCTGTTATTAAGAACATTTTCAGGCTACAAGTTGCATGCAGTTAATACCAAAGAGGGTGATTATTAAAATCAAGTCAGTCTTGATGCCAGGTTCACATCAAATCTCAGAACCTCCTGACATTCACTTCTGCCTCCAGAAAGCTCTTCAGACAGCTGCGGTTGACCTCATGGAACTGCTCATCCTGGATTCTGCACTCCGTGGATTTGTGGGAGCAAATTGGCTCCTGCATAGAGACTTTAGCCAATATTAACTTGTTAAGTAAGAAGATGACTGGAGTAGACATGTGCTCATGTATGATCATTCTGACTTAGTTCTGGGGTTGAGATTTAGGGTCAGTGAACTTGTAATGTGTATGTGTGAGCTGGCATATGAACTTATGTGCATGCATGTGCACAGGCGTGCCCATGTGGGTGCATGTGGAGGCCAGAGGTTGACATCATGATTTATTCCTCAACTGTGGTTCCAGTTTATGTTTTTGAGACAGTGTCTGTTACTGAACCTGGAGCCTATCATCTCATCTAAACTGCTTGCCTTTGGGGTCCTCATGTCTCTCTTGCCCCTCACCCTCAGGACTGAAAGTATAGATGCATACCACAGTGCCTGGCTCACTAGGACCAAGTCATACTCCCAAGAACTCCTATTGGAATTAATATAAAAATAGAATAAACACAGAAATAGGGCTTTTAGAGAGACACATGGCTATAATTTAGTGTCCCTGAACAGAAAATAAACGATGCAAGAAAGAGCTAAAGTAATTCCCCATGAAATTTTCCAAGTGTAAAACTTAGAAGGAATCCCAAAGACTGGCGAACACTGAACCACTTGTAACCCCACGGAACTCACTTGTAACCCCACGGAACTCACTGCCTTCGGCTTCAGAATCTTCCAGCAAGAGAAGCACACACATATTTGTGCCACAGACTAGGAGAAAATGAATGCATGGCTGTAGAAGGTCTTAAAAGGATGTAAAAAATCAAGATCTCAATTTTCTTACTTTGGTCCTACATTCAGTGGATGCTCCAAATCCAAAGAGAAATCTCACGACGTCATTGTGGCCTTGCTGGGCAGCAAAGAACAGGGCAGTTGTACCTGACTGGGAGAGAGGGCATGACTTTAGAGAGACATTAACAAAATTATCTTTGCACAGACACTTCCCAGCTCCAAGAGGGCCACATTAAATTTGTTGTGATTTTCTTCCTTTTTAAAAATTTTATCTTTTTAAATGTGTTTTGTCTGCACATGTGTCAGTGCACCCTGTGTGTGTGTGTGTGTGTGTGTGTGTGTGTAGTGCCCACGGAGGCCAGCATAGCGCATAAGATTCTTTGAAACTGGAGTTACAGATAGTTGTTAGCTACCATGTGGGTGCTGGGACTTGAACCTGGGTCCTCGGAAGGGCAGGCAGTGCCCTAGTTATCACTGAGCTACATCTCTAGCCCCTGTTGCTAGTTCTTGATGAGAGAAATAAAATGAGAGGAAGATTTCATTCTTGTAGGGGAGGATGGTCCTCCCCCAGAAGATCAGACTGTGCCCTGATTCCAGGACATACCATTGCTCTATATCATGATGGATTAAATTGAGGATCTGGACAGGAGGCGCTCTGCTGTGGAGGAATCCTTTTGTACACTGTGAAGATCTGTCACTGTCGTTGGTTTAATAAAGAAGCTGACTGGCCAATAGCTAAACAGGATAATGCTGGGAAGGAGAAGGGTGGAGTCAGGAGTCACCAGATGCAAAGGGAGCAGGATGAACGTGCTGTGCTAATAAAGGCACTGCCATGTGGCAGAGCATAATAAGGAACATGGGTTAACTTAAAACGTAAGAGCTATTTAGCAAAAGCCTGAGCTATTGGCTGAGCATTTGTAATTAATATAAGTCTCAGTGTGTTTATCTGAGAGTGGCTGCGGGGCAGAAACTTCCACCTACAACACTCATTCTGCATCACCAGGACAGCGGTGAGTGTCCTTTTAAGTGCAAAACAGAACCAGACTCCTTGCTAAGCTCTGTGAACTGTGCCACAGTAGCACAGGCCTATAATCCCAGCAATCAGCGGGCTGAGGCAACAAGATCGAAAGTTTGAGGCCAGCCTGGGCCTCATAGTGTACCCTGTCTCAGAAACTCAAACTAAGCTCAAACAAACGAAAGCAAAAATCCCAGAAAGAGTGAGAAAAGAGCTAAAACATGGGAGCAGTGGAGATGTCCATGCGTGGGCAAACGGAGGACTAACATGGCATTGCCTACACGGGCAGAGTGTTATTTAGCTTTAAAAGGAAGGGGGTTATGACAGAGACCACACATGGATGAAAGGTAAGGATTTGTTACATGGAGGAAGCCTGCTCTACAAGGACAAACACTGTTAGATTCTGCTATGGTGTCTGAAGAACACAAACTCATGCAGACAGAAAGTAAGGAGATGGTTGCTAGCAGCTGGGGGAGGGAGGAGGAGGAGGAGTTATTGTCTAGTGGGCACAGCCACGTGGAAGAGTTTCAGAGAAGATGCAGCCGTGGTTACACAGCGCTGTGAATGTATCCACAGTACCATAGCTGCTTATTTTAAGATGGTCAGTTTTGTGTATATTTACTATGGTGAAAATAATAAGTAAGACTGATGAAGAGAGATATTTGTCAGGAGAGACTAAGAGGCCACACATGTGATGACTGGGGTGCTGCAGCCACAGCCATGGGATGGGGTGGCACCAGCTCTAGAGGCAGCAGAAACCTTAGCAGGCACGTCCAACCTTGACACTGTAGCTCAGCACTGTCATTTCCTAAGATCCTGCTTGGGAACTGTGTAAATGAGCTGCAAATAATTCACCAAAAGTCCCCTAATATTTTCAGGAAGTTTTTGGTTTTGTGTTGAGCCCCACTCATAATTATTCTGGGGTGCATATGGCCTAGAGACCATGGCTTGGTTATGCCTAAAGAGGGAATGAGGCCCAACCTACACTCCAAATTTAGATTTCTGGCTCCCATATCTACTAGATAATTAATTTCTGTTGTTTTAAACCATCCAGTTCAATAGTGATCTGTTGTAATGGCTATAGGCAACAAATATTCTTGGTACAGTGATTGGGGAAACCAGAATAAATTAAAACATGGAAGAATTCTGGTGGCAGCAATGTGGTTCCAGAATTTAGTAATCCAGAGTAGCAAACAATCAATGCAAAGAAGAAAAGAAAGAAAAGGGTGGGAGGGGAAGAAATCTAAACAATTTACTTACAAATCCTCTCGCTGGAGGTCAGAGCAGAAACGCACTTAAAATATTTTTCAAAATTGGACATATTAACCACTAGCAGTCTAAATGCACATTTTCAGCCAGCTCAGACGCGGTATTTTTAGCATGTTTCCTTCGAAGCCTAATCAAAGACTGGTACCCAAATCATGGTGTCACATGAACAAATTCTTGATAGCACAGCCGTGAAGTTGTTCATCATGGGAACTTTCTGGGAAGAGGGATCACAGCGGGAATGAGAGAGAATAAGGGGGCAATGGCCGTGAATGCAATCGCACTGCACACAGACAAGGACTCGCAAAAAATAAAAATAAAAATAAAAAAAGAAGAAAAGAGAAGATGCCCGTCGCCTTCACAGCCGGCTTTTGGCGAAACCGACGCACTCCTCCAGGCTCTGAGAGAAGCCCTCTTCCCACGGCTCACCTGGAGGGGAGGGGACTGATTCCGAGCAGGATGAGGGATAATGGAGCACCCCAGGTCCTGTGGACCGCACTGGTTACTCTGCCATCCATTCTGAAGGGGGCAGGACACTGGGTCACAGCATGTTCCCACAGACCTGAACCTGCAACATCCGTGCATTGCTCTCCGACAGAGAAGAGTGCTAAGTTCCATCATAGTTATAAAGAGGTTTTGATGAAAAAACTTGAGCAGAATCAAAAGACTTGCTTCTGAAATAAAGTTTAGAGAGTTACCCAGGATTCTTTCTGGTGTTTTTTTTATTAAGAGAAAATATTTATTTTTCAGCAACTTTTTGAAACATTAACTAAAATGATGATCATAGTAGCTGAGGTAATTTTTATGTATAAAATCAGTCACGTAGTTGGGTACAATAATCCCTAGCAGCTAAGATCTAGATTTCATTCTGAAAGGTGAATTAAGTGTGCAGTATACAAGCTTTCCTCCTGAAGCCCAGGCCTCTAGGCCAACTTCCGAAAGCTTTCAGTCTGCCACCATTGCTGGATTGCTACAGTGACTGCCCTCAGGACCATTGATCTCCAGTTGGTCTAGCAAGCTCTGTATGTCTAGGAAAGCAAGGTTATGGAAATTCTAAGAAAACATTCTGATGCTCCAAATGGGTTAACAGTGGGGCATGGTTTAAGCCTGCTGCAAAAGTATATTCCAAAGCTCCCTGATGGGGTCTTCCTCTAGGTTACTACCTATATTGCCCGAGGCTGGCATGGGCTCAGGAGCTTTGAGCGGCTGCTGGACATACCCACAGCCTCATCATCTGGGACACAGTTTACTCTGGACTGGATGTGCTTCAGTTCAGTCCTCAAGAGCTATTGTCCTCAGGGCACGAAGGTTTCCATCTGCTAGTTTAGTGGAGTCATTGTGACCAAATCAATGAATAAACATAAAATCACAAAGCCACACAGCAGCTAGAAGCCCCACTGTTTCTCTTTCCTCTGCCCTTCTCAGTTCTCAAGAGGTTTTCTTGCACAGTGTACCTGCCCTTTGGGACTGAATTTTTGAATAAGCAGATCTGGACTGCATTGTTTTCATTAGAGAAAACCCGCTTTGTGTTTTAAGGTTATAATAAACAAGGACTATAAAGCAGAAAGAGAAAAAGATGTGGGTAATTTTAAAATATATCTCTAAATGAGCTTAAACATCTTTATCCCAGAGAAACATCTTATTTCCGCAGCCGATGTGAAGAATGGTGTGAAACAAGGACCTAGTGTTGTGAAGATTGCCCAGGAGAACCTGTGTGTGAGAAGACAGACCAAACCAATGGCAGTGTCTGCACTGCCTCTCTCTGTAGACCAGTCTCGCAAGGGCTGTGGGTCAGTGGTTGTTCGTTCACAGTCTACGGACTAGGCCTCTAAGATTTAGCGGTAGGTGAAGGCCTGTCGGAGGTAAGGCAGATTGTGGGATCAGGCCAAAGGAAGAAAACCAAGTGTCCACTATGTCTAGGACCTGTCCCTGGTTGTCTGTCTCATACCTGGGTCTGTGCGAACTGAGAGGCCAAATTTACACATCCCAAGGCTTTGCCTAACCAGGTCCTGCATCAGCTTGGACCCGACCTCCAAAGCATGTTAAATGCTCCGGCCATCCTGCTGCGGCTCCAGACTGAGCTACACCTGGAGCCGCTGGTGAGACCACGCCCCCAGCATTGATCAGCGAGCTCACCGTCCCCCCACGTGACCTTTTTGGAGCGCTTACTTAACACCAGTGCCAGGCGGAAAAGAGATTTGTAAGTGTTGTTTTGTGAGGACTAAGTTTCATGATAAATAGGCTGCAGCCCAAACAAACAGATATGCAGTGATATCTGGGAAATTCCTATAAACTCCACAGTATCTCATCCCAAGAGAGGAAAAAGTACTGGTTCATGTCTGAGACAAAAATATTTGACTGTGCTGAGCTTCAGGAGGAAAACTGTATACTGCAGACTTAATTCACCTTTCAGAACGAAGTCTAGATTCTAGCAGCTAGGGATTATTGTACCCAACTACATGACTGATTTTATACATAAAAATTACCTCAGCTGCTATGATCATTATTTAGTTAATGTATCAAAAAATTGCTGAAAAATAAATATTTTCTCTTAATAAAAAAACACCAGAAAGAATCCCGAGTATTCTTTTTTTTTTTTGAGAGTAAATTTTATTAAATTATAAAAGTTTCCATTTCCGCCCCTCTTCCCAACACCCTCCCACTCCCCCCACTCCCTCTCCTCCTCCCTCTTCGTCCCTTAGGGCAGTCAGGGTTTCCTGCCCTGTGGGAAGTTCAAGTTCCTCCCCCCTCCCTCCAGGTCCAGGAAGGTGAGTATCCAAACAGACTGTATCCCCAAAATCCAGTATATGCAGAAGAAACAAGTCCCAGTATCATAGTCAATGGCTTTTCAGAACCGAGTATTCTTTAAACTTTATTTCAGAAGCAAGTTTTTTGATTCTGCCCAATTTTTTTCATCAAAACCTCTTTATAACTATGCTGGTATGGACTACGCATGGTTTGGATGTATCGTCCCAAGATTCAGTGCTAGGAGCTGAGTGTCCATGAGGTGATGTCGAGGAAGTGGAACCTTTAAGATGTAGGCAACGGAGTGAGGTCGTTGTGGGCAGAGCTACAGTGAGTGTCAGTAGAGTAAGGATTAGTGTGATCTCCTAGAGGGTGCTAGTTCTCACAAACATGGGTTGTTAAAAAAACAAGCATACTTTGTGCTTGGTCTCTTTTGCTTGTGCTCATTTCTTTCTCCTCTCTGTAACTGCGTCACGCTGTGAGGCAGCCAAGGAAGCCCTCACAGATGCCAAACAGACGCAACTCCTAATCTGAGATTTTCAGTCCTGAAAACTGTGAACTAGATAGCCCTCTATTTTTAAAATAAAATACCCAGCACCAGTTATTCTGTTATGACGGCACAGACGAATGAATACACTTGAAGATGGTTCACTCCTAGAGTTTATTTTAGGCACAATAAACTCTGCAATGGGCTTTGTGTGGAGCAAAGCAATGGCAACTTTTATCCTCTTAAGCAGTTTACTGCCTTAAAGACCACAGACCTCTTATCCTGGTGATTTTTATTCACATGCACAACCTGACTTACCTCTCTCTGGAGGTTGATGTCTGCGCCCTGCAGAACCAGCTCCCTCACACAGTCTATGTGGCCAGCGTAGGAGGCGACCATGAGGAGTGTGGTGCCATGCTGCACGGAGGGGAAGAGATGAACGTTATGCTCTTACGGTAGAGAGGGAGCCTGGAGGAGACTACAGAGATGTTAGCTTCCCCTAGGCAGGGCACATGAAATGAAGGGCTCAAGTAACTGTGATGCCGACCGACCAGATGGGAAAAGCAAACTGATAAATTCCCACTGTTACAAATTCACTTACACCCATCTCCTTCAGAAACAGTACAAGTGAAACATCTAGACGCCATTTTAAGCCAATAATGATACAATGTTCTCATTTTATGACCCACACGGAATGACTCCTGATTCAAAACACTGCTATTAATTCAAAAGTGAGTTGAATGTTACCAGCTGCTTTTCTGCATTTGGAAGGGTTTTATTGCTCTTGTAAATTGATCGTTTCCACTCCCAACCTTTCCCTCTTTTCCTTCACACCTCCATGTCCACTCCTGTCTCCTCTCTGTAAAGCTGAATTCAATCAGTGCCATCTGCTACAATGTTGACTGATGGTTTGTTCTTGTGCAGGTGTGTGCAGGCATGTGTAGGCATGTGCAGGCATGTGCCATGTGCAGGTGACCACAGCTGCAGTGAGTTCATGAGATCTGTGACCACGTCATTGTCCAGAAGACACTATTTGAACTAATTAGTCTTTAAAATTGTCTAAATTGTCTTCTCTCTCTCACAGACTACATAACGAGTCTGTGTCTAAAAAACTTTCCTGTTTTATTTATTTAGTTTTTGAAGAAGAAGTCGGAGTTTATTTAGAAAAAGTTTTAACTCCGATTTAGGCATTAAATTAAGAGAAAAAGAGAGAATCTCAGGAAAAGGACAAAATACCCTCAACTACGGACATGGGCTTCTTAAGAGTCAACCACATTTTATTTTAATTAAAAAAGTCTTTTGATTTCTTCTTTGACTCGTTCAGTAATGTGTTGTTTAATTTCCATGAGTTCCTGTAGTTATGAGAGAGTCTTTAGCTGCTGACTTTAACTTTTATTGGATTGTGTGGTTAGAGTATTCACGAGGTTAGCTCATTTTTTCTGAGTTGTTAAGAGTGGTTTTGTATCTCAGAATGCAGTCTGTTTCGAGAAACTTCCATGAGCTGCTGAGTAGAATGTATGTTCTTTGGGGCCTGAGCGGAATGTTCTGTAGATAGCTGTTAGGCACATTTCACGTATGATGTCCTTTAATTCTGGCTTCTCCGTTTATTTTCTGTTGAACTCCTTCCCCTGAGGTCATCCTGACTGGCATGACAATCTTTCTATCCTTAACTTCTTCCTGAATGTGGGTAACTTTTATTTAGATGAGAAATAGGCAAATCCTTGGTGTTGCGAAATAAATGTGTTCTCCAAAATTCACACTGAAATCTAATTCCTATTGCAGTGGCTTTAAGAGGCAGGCCTTTTAGGAAGTGATTAAGACAGGAGGAACTTGTCCCCAAGTGGGATTAGTGCTCACAGGAAATAACCTGGGGGGGGGTGGCTCCTGCCCTGTTCTATAGACAGGGCTCTTAGCAGACACCAAATCTACTGGCACCTGGGTCTTGATTTCCCAACCAACATGACTGTGAGCAATAATTTCTGTTGTTTATAAACTACCCAGGCTCAGGTACTTTATTACAGCACCTCAAGTAGACTCTTGGTTTAAAGACAATTTGTTTAAACACACTTTAAATACATCCTTCTACATGAGATGTAAGATATATATCACAAACCACACTACTTTCAAAATGAAGAAGCAGAAGAAAG